ATTGTACAGTGGCATCAAGTGCCGTAATGTGCACCTCTGTCTACCCCTTCGGGGATAAAAAGGCGTGATGTTATGTTTATGTAAAAATTTACTGATGATTGAAAAATCAGCCCTAAGTAATTTTACAGTGAACTCCAACAAAATATTATAAAACGAATTATAATGTTTTTCGGCTTTCTCAAGTATATTTTTTTTTAAACTTTGCGTCACACTAGGATATTCTCCTGTGTCGTGTGTGCGTTTACAAACATACAAGTTCACATACACATGACACACAGACACGGAACTACAATCTGTGGATCACACTAAGTGTCTTTCTTTCTTTATTGAAACAAAGAGTTTCCTTTTTCTTGTATAGAAGCACTATTTGTATGGATTGTCAGTATGCATATGTGAGCACCATGTTAGACTTAAGATCTTTATTATTTTTATTTTTATTTTAGTAAGTTATTAGTATAATGCGTCATGCGTGTCTGTGCATTGTTCTTACATATGTGTACAGTATTGAAATATGTATCAGAGACATTGTAGAAAATACTTTTTTAAAAGAGTAACGAATGGAGTTTCTTGCTCGTTCTTCTCCATTCGAATCTACGTTTTGGAATGAGCACCTAGCTTCACCTAGCTTCACTGACGGACTGACTGACAGACTATTAGTTATTTTGTATTTGTTGACGTTTCAAAAGTACCAAACTATGGTTTAATTGAAATAAATGCTTTGACTTTGACTTTGACTTTCCGTGCGGGAATCGAACCCGCGGCACGCTGCACGACAGCCGGTTGCCCAGCCACCGCACCAACCGTGCAGTCATTTGACAGTCAATTATTTGACTTTGACGAGAAACTCGTCGTATGTTCCACGAAAGATATGCTATAAATTGTTATAAAAGTTATCTGAACCATGCCACCATTGAACTCGATGATTAGGTATTATTGACGCCATTTTTATTAAAACTGAGATATTCACAATATAAGTAAAAGAAAAAATAAAAAGAAATGTTAAATACAACTTACGACACACTATAAACTACCTAAAAGATAGAAAAACTGCCATTAAAAAAAAACGACTTCAAAAAAAACTAAAGACATTCGGAAAGTAAAAACTAAAAAGGAAAAAATAACTACTATTGGTCACACGTATGTACGTATAGCTTACCACCCACTGATAGGATAGAAGACGGTGCCGAAAAATTTTCAAAATCGTAATTATCGGAGATGTCGGCGAACAAACATAAAAAAATAAGCATATACGGTCGAATTAAGAAGCTTCTCCTTTTTTGAAGTCGGTTAAAAATTTAATAAAAGAATACTAAAAATAACTATTTACAGAGTACCATAACATAACAGCCACAGTAGTAGCCTTTTATCCCCGAAGGGGTAGGCAGTGGTATATATTTTGCCACTGTACAATGTAACACCCACTTTTCACTATTTATGTCATGTGTCCCCTGTAATAGGAGGTGGCCCTATTGCCATATACCGGGCACAATTCCAGACTCCGTGCTACTACTGAGAATTTATAAAAACCCAGTAGTAGGTGCTTTGTCCGACCCGGGAATCGAACCCGAGACCCGTTGACAGTGAGGCAGTTTTTTACTATTTACACTATTTACAGAGAGCATAAAAAATTCGTCCGCATCGACGTCAATCGGGACAGTACTCAGAAGGGTGGCAGCATTGCCACGTAGTATAATTATTAATTTTTAATATCAAAATATGTACATACCTACCTATTTCATATACCGAATCCGAAAAATGATCACAAACACACGAAAAAAAACACGAAAAAATTTAATTCTAAGTTTTTTGTGTTTTTTTTTATAGCACTTTTGCACTTAAATTGTAACTTCAATATATATAAAATAACATATTTTGCTATAAAATATGTTGAAAATATAGGTTTTTTTATTCAAATTCTCATGTACTTTCGTTTTTCGTGTAGAAAACTTCACTTATCACTACAAAATACAATAAAAAATTATCAAAAATACATTATTTAATCAGTCCATTAATTATATAAAAAAAATTAACCACTTTCGCAACACATACACTATTTAAAAAAACAAAAACTTATTTTTTCCGATCACAATTTTTATACAACGTGAGACAAGCGCACCCCTCGGGTTTTCCCGGTATACTAACTGAATGACGGTCGATTTTAATGTACGATAAGGGGAACTATAGTTCAGTGGTCGTAATGGCTAGTGCACGCAAGGCCCTAATTTTAATACCCGATTAGGGTACAGGAGACTTTATTATTTTATAGTTAATTTAGTAATCAGCAATATTTTTTTATACCACTACGGTGGCAAAACGCACACGGCCCACCTAGCAGCTTACTCTTGAAACCAATCCCAATGTCAATGCAATTTCAATCCAATAAAATCTCAATAATAATTCAATGTCAACACTATACAACCACAATCGTAGCTGTTACAATAGCATTCAGAGTACGGAATATAAAGACAAACTCAATACCGTTTAGTTCATTCAATATCCACGCAATACGGATGCAATGGGCGCTAGTGTTGCAACTCAAGAGTACGACACAATATCAATGTCGATCGATCGGAATTGGATTCAAGAGTAAGCCTGATGGTAAGCGGTTACCGTGGCCTATGTACGCCTGCAACACTTGGGGCATTACATGTGTCTTGTCGACCCTTAAGAAACCTATTCACTCCCCTCTTGAAGATATTAAAAACTTTTATTAAACTTGCAATGTGTGTGTGTGTGTTTGTGAAGTGGAATCTTACAACTGAATGTTGTAGCAGTTACCTTCAACCGATTGAACTGAAATTTTGTATCCTCGTTTAGTTTGCATGACCATAAATGCTAACCTGCATACTTAAACATGGGATCATCCTTACTATCATCAATACATAGTATAAAACAAAGTCGCTTTCGCTGTATGTCCGTATGTATGCTTAGACCTTTAAAACTACGCAACGGATTTTGATGCGGTTTTTTTTAATAGATAGAGTGATTCTTAAGGAAGGTTTGTATGTATAATACATGCATATTGCACCCGTGCGAAGCCGGGGCGGGTCGCTAGTAATATTATAAATCGGAAAGTGAGTTTGTTTGTTTGTTCCGCTTTCACGCCGTAACTACTAAACCGATTGCTTTGAATTTTTGCAGACGTAAAGTTAGACGTCTGGATTAAATAATAGGGTACTTTTTATCCCGGAAAAATTTGATATTCCCGAGGGAAAACAAAAGTATTGGTATAGATGGCGCTGTGTGTATTGGTATATGTCACATAGGCTACTTTTTATCCTTTTGTGACGCGAGCAAAGCCGCGGGTAAAAGCTAGTATAATATATTTGAGAGATTGTAAAAAAACTGATTGCCTTATTGGCCGAGTGGTCGCAAGTGCGACTGCCGGGCAAGGGCTTTCGGGTTCGATTACCGGGTCGGGCAGTGTTACTGGGTTTTAAAAAAAAATCAGTTCAGCACGGAGTCTGGAATTGTGTCCGGTATATGGCAATAGGCTCACCCCCTATTACATGGGACTCATAACATAAATACCTAGTGGAAAGTGGGTGTTACATAGTACAGTGGCAACTACTTCAAAAAAAGAGGAGGTACTATGTTGGGCTGATTGTTTTTTTTTTGCTTCCACATAGGACTTCTTCCTCATGAGCAGCGTGCGCGGTCGCGTCGAAGTCGCGCAGCCTACTGAGGTCCGCAACTAGTAGAGCTTTTCTCAGTATACTCACGTGAGTAACCCGCGATTTTGGTTAATTTAGTATGTCTCACGATAGTTATTATAATCTTTTTTTTTTGTATCACCCAAGGGTCAGACTGGTAGAAATGCCTGCGACATTAAGTCCACCCATGTGCTTATTTGTGCATAAAGATTTTTAAATATATATATTTTTATGGACCTGTAGACGAGCAGACGGATCGCCTGATGGGAAGGAAACGGCGTCACTAATAAAATTAACTAATTCAATTTAAATGTAGTTTACCGGATACTAACAATTTAGTATAATAAGGATTTATTGTATTTAAATGAAAAGCATTAGTTTGTACCACCATACGTCATCACTACGACGCCTTTATAAATTTAACTTAATTATCTTACTTCACGGGACGATATCCGGCCACTTTGAAGCACGGGCCTGCGGACGGCAAGCACGGGCACCAGACCTAGACCCAAGTGTACGGCGCGCGCTTCAAAGAGACAAGACCACCACGGATGGGACCAAATAGGACTGATGTTGATTTGGAGCCGCGGCAAACGTGAAACGTTACCGGAGCTCCAGTTACCGGTAGGAACGGGGTGGTTTTTAGTCAGTAAGAGTCTGACACTCCCTCCCGCCTCACACGGGCGGGAGCAGCAATTCGATGATTTGGGAGATAGACCAGATGATAAATTCTTACCTCTTTTTTGATGCCAGTTTTTGGTTTTTGAAGTTTTCTTTAAAATCTGTAACAAAGATAAGTTTAAGTTAATTTTTTTTATAGAATAAGGCGGTAGACGAGCCCACGGCTCACATGATGGTAAGCAATCGGCGTCGGCTATGGACACTTGAAACACCGAGGGCGTTACAAGTAGGTTACCGGCCTTTTAGGGATTAGGAATTTGAGGATTGTTGCGGATTCAGGGATTGGGGAGATTGGGGAAGGGGAGGGTAATTGGGCCTCCGGTAACGTCACTTACACGACGAAACACAACGCAAGCGTTGCTTCACGTCTGTTTTCTGCTCGGCCGTGGTATACTCCGGTCGAGCCGGCCCATTCGTGCCGAAGCATGGCTCTCCCACAATCGGTTTTCGGCTTACTCATGTAGTTTCAAGCCATGCTAGAGTCTCATATATTAAAACTAGTCGAGTTTCTCGTCAAACAGTTACTTGAGTTAGCCAAAAAAATAATTGATATTAAAATTGCTTAAACAATTATAATTTCTTGCAAGTAACGCCGAAGTATGATCTTGTATGAAAGTAATAATGTTTACATGAGAAAGTCATCAATCTTTGCTTACATCATAGATCGATATGACAGCAATTTATTATATTCGTTCTATGTATGACATCGTAACCTTAATATGTCATTTATATAAAATAATATATTAAACTAGATACTTTCACGCGGTTTCACCCGCTCTGCTCGGCTCCTATTAATCGTAGCGCAAGGTTTTATAGCCTATAGAATTCTGCGATAAATGGACTATCCAGCACAAAAGGAATTATTCAAATCGGATCAGTTATTCCTGAGATAAGCGTGATCAAACAAACAAACTCAGCTTAGTAGGTGGCGCTCTGTAGTTTCTGTATACCATCAGATGTACGAATGTGGTGGAAGCTAAAGAAGTATGTAAGGAGCGTAGTAGGTGGCGCTCTGTAGTTTCAGTATACCATCAGATGTATGAATGTGGTGGAAGGTAAAGAAGTATGTAAGGAGCGTAGTAGGTGGCGCTCTGTAGTTTCTGTGTTCCTTAGGTTAAGCAGAGAGCCCTGCTGCCAGGTGGAACGAGACGTCGCTAGACGACTTATATAGCTCTGTTTCTTTCCCTCAATGGAACCATTCTAACTATAGGACGTCATAATAATCCCGCAGGTCTCTGTCAAATGTGAAGTCCCTTAGTCGGGTATACGACACCCGCGGGAAGAGTATAGATGGTGACATACGTATAGTCTGCAGTCACTATACAGTTGTCTCAAAACTCTTTGTACTTTAAATAAGTTTAAAATAAATAAATAAAAGAGTTCCTCTCCTCTCTCTTTACTTCAATGGGAACAGTTCTCCTTCTATTTTTAATTAAAAAAACTTTTTTAATGTCAATGAAGTGAAATAGGGGTGCAGTGGCCCTCAAAGTTATTTTATTTAAGTGTTTAAGCCGTTATTATAAAGGTGGTTTGTTCATTATAGAGGTATTGTATAACGAGGCAAGCTATCAGTCGAATAGTAACAACATATGTACTGCTCATTCATACCCGCAACACTTTTTTTTTAAGGGGGGAAAATCATCGAATTTCTGCTCCCGCCTGGGTGAGATGGGAGGGAGTGTTAGACTCTTACTGACTAAAAACCACCCCGTTCCTTCTCCTGCACGAGCCGGAGCCCCGGTTACCCGTTAGGTTCTCCGCGACTCCGAATCGGCATCGGCCCTATTGGGCCCCATCTGTGGTGGTCTGATGGCTATTTGAGGCGCGCGCGGAACGCGACGCAGGATACCCGCAACACTAGAGGCGCTTTTTTTAAGGGGGGGGGGGATCATCGAATGACTTTGAATTAAAAACAAACATCTGGATTATATTGGAATTGAGACTGATTCTTGGAGTTTGACCAACTACTGGGTGTATTGAGTATTCTCTAGAGGGGAATTGGACCTGCGGTAAGATCACTGAAACGGCGAAACACCGCGTAAGCTCTTGTTTTTTCACACCGATGTACTCGCTTGCTCGGTCGGGGTATCACTCCGGTCGACCCGACGTAGCAGTGCCATTTATCGCTTCTACGCATTGTACCTCTATACACCTTAATTTAAATGTATTAGTGAAAACTGCTCCTTTTTTCCTTTATAATTCAGATCAAAAAGGACAGAAAGTTTGAGAATCGCTGTTCAAAACTCAGTTGAATTTAATGAATTGAAAGTAGAATAAAAACAGTACGATGGCGATTTCAAACATTGGGTTCCGTCTAATATTTTTAATTAAAATTGATTGTCCAGTCAACTGATGGTAGCGTGGACCGTCCAGGCGATAGGTACTTTACTTAGGTATCGACATGAGCTAATGGTAAGATGTAAACAGTGACTCATGTAGTGTAGAGATTGTCCAGTCAACTGATGGTAGCGTGGACCGTCCAGGCGATAGGTACTTAGGTATCGACATGAGCTAATGGTAAGATG